GTCGAGGTGTTTGGGCAAGCCTTGGGGGCATGAGCAAATAAGGTGCCTCTTTGGTCGGCAGTGGAATAGTTGGCCAATTTCATTCGCACGCGCACTCACGCACATACCTACGTGTGTAATTATACGTGAATCATGTATAATATAATCTATACATTATACATATATATATGTATTATATTGGTATTCTATGATATGATATCTGTGTGTGTGCGCATGTGGAGACATGTACGCCACGTATGTTCTTGAGCCATCATAACTTCACCTGGCTGCATTTCCTCCCCGGTCCCCAGTATTGGTTCGAGGGAAAATGCAGGAATCCCGTATGATTGGGGGTAAAAATCAGGGTTTACGGTAGATTTTCCAAATAAAACCAATCCATTAATTAGTAGGGTCAAAATATCCAAGCCTGATTTTGGAAATGAGATGGCGATGGAGAGAGAGAGAGAGAGAGAGAGAGATTTCCCAAATGTGAAGGGCCACCATTGGGCGGATTTGTTTCTCGGTGACACCATGACCCTCGCGTGTGCGAATCCTTGAACCAGCGGTCCATCATGCCGTCGCAATCACCGCTTCACATTTGTTGCACAGCTGGGGTTGAAGATGATGAAGTTCTCTCCTCTAGAAATTGTTCTAGGGGAATGGGCCCCATCGTCATTGACCACATCCTTTGGCATGTGTGTGTTTTGTCCCTGGAGGATGGAGGCACGGAGCGGTTGGATCTGAACCCCCTCCCATCAGAAGAAACAATAATAACCAGAGAAGTCGGACTTTTATGAAAGAAGTCACCAAAAAAGTTCCATCTGGTTATTTAACATAGCCATGGAAAATTCTGGAAAATGGCCCATTTATAGATGGTTTACCTATTAAAAATGGTGATTTTCCATGGCTATGTGAAAAAACCAGAGAATAATAACAATAGACAGCGTTTACGCACAAATGGCAGGGGTCAAGCTTCAGAGCCGCAGGTCAGCGTGAAGTCACAAACGCTCAAACATGTGGGGAAGATTGATGGTCAGCGTCTTGGCAACCTTCAAGACTACATCCAAATATGCGCCAAGAAATGGTAGCCTCATGAGCAGTTGAATTCATCCTTTAACCATTTTTTAAACAGTGGTGTGGTGTCTCTCCGAGATTCTCCGAGTTAAATCACCACACATTGGCGAATTGATGGTTTGTTCTTTGCGAAAAAAAAACCATTGGCCAGAAGCGGTCCGACCCCAGCGGAACGGAGTGAAGCCCTATTTATTGCTGGCTCAGTGACCAGCGTCAGGTCGGAAATTGCCTTGCCGACTCAGACACCCATCGCACGTGCCGCAAGTCGCAAAACATGGGAGCAATCGGCCGCTACAATGATAAGGACGTTACTAACCGATGGCAACAGTGGTTTCAAGATACAGGACGAGTAAGAAGACACTTTCAATATTGTTCAATGAACTTGCATGAATTGACACAAAGTTGTTGGGACAAAGAAGATGAAGGAAGACTTGTATCACAATGTGCTCGGAATGTCTATCACAGGTGAGTCAAGTCACTCCTCAAGTCTTGTCTGCCCCGGTGGGGCATTATATTACACTCCTGCAGGGCTGCGCTGTTTTGGCGAACCTGGCTGCAGACGAGGAGTCGCAGGAGCGGAAGCGACAGTTGTGATGGTGAGAGTCGTGGATGGGAATAGGAATGCGACGTTATGAGTTATGACATTGACATATGATATCATATGATTATGATTCTGATGATTTGCGAATGGATATCTCAAGATCAAAATATTCAAGAAACACATAGGAAACAGCCTTTTCAATTTGTAGGCACAGCTCCGGAGAGGTCACAGTGGCCCAGAGCGGTGCCATCCCACGGATCCTTCGTGGCATGGAGCGACATTTGAATGAGCGCCTTGGCATGGCATGGCGGCATGGCGGGAGCAGCTGGGAGTCGGCCAGGGGATTCTGCCCATTTTTATCCATTTTTTGGGGTGTGTTCAAAAACGGCATACCCTCTGGTAAACTAACATAGCTATGGAAAATCACCATGTTTAATGGGAAAATCCACTATAAATGGTCATGTTCAATAGCTATGTTGAATTACCAGAGGGTAAAGATGAGAGAGAGAGAGATTACCACGTCGGCCTAATAAGATATTACAATATATTACAATTACAAGTGTTATTCATTCTTCTTTGATGAGAATTGCTTTGGGATTGTGGCACCCTCTTGACTCAGACAAAGGCATTTGAGTCTTTGAGGCAACTTGTGCAAGACTACTGCATTGGTGCACTCTTTAACCTCTCGCGAGCTCCCCAGAACATGTGCCTTGGATTCGTGGGACTGCAGCTGTGGCTGGGCCATGCAGGGTGCTTCGCTGCAGGGCTGGAAGAAGTCAGCAGATTTAAGAGATGATGTCAATCCATGTCATTGTCATTTGTCTCAACCTTTACATTTTTTATTTACATACATACATACATACATACGTATGACATACATACATACGTATGACATACATACATACATACATACATACATACATACATACCTACCTACGTCCGTCCGTCCATCCGTCCGTCCGTCCGTCCGTACGTAAATACCTACATACATATCATACCATACCATACCATACCATACCCCTCTACATCCAAAGACCTAGAAAATCTAGGTTTTCCAGGATGTACCTAGAATTGTTGTGAGGTACCTAGAATTGTTGTTCCCTAATTTGGTAATAATCACCCCCAGACAATGATAGCTTTGATATGCTTCAAGTGAATTAGGACATGTTGAATGCTATGACATGACATATTCCATTCAATGCATCATGTGGATGAACAATCAATTGAATTAGATTCCATCATAGAAATTCAGAAAAACATACTGGGTTCTGATGTTGATAGCAGTTGTATTGCTGGCTTGAGCGCAAATATATGAAACTATATTATGTATATTAAACTTATGTTATCACGTGTTGCTTCCAGCTCTGACATGTAGTTCAGAGGCCATCTCAAAAAGTGCATTGATAGATGTGAAACACTTTCAACGCACTGTTTCGGTGTTTTTTTTTGGGGGGCAGTGTCCACGACAATTCTAGGTTGTTCCACGACAATTCAAGGCCGTTCCACGACAATTCTAGGTCGTTCCACGGTTTGTCCATGGTTTGTCCACGGTCATGTTTTTTTGCACAAAAAAAGGACAACAAAAACACATACAGATTTTTGTTCATCCCCACATCATCACTTTGCTGGTAAGTTTCAGCATTGAAGACCAGTGAAGAAACTGAGCAAGTGTAATTATGGTGAACTTAATTGAGTTTACATTGCTAGCATTTGATATGCCATAGCTTTGGCAAATTGTTGACGGAATGTTGGGTTGTTCATGTGAATGTTTAGGGCAATTTCATAAATTTTTGTTGGTACTTTCGAGCCCATGCTGGTAGTCACCGAGCAGCTTCCCAATGGCACCTTTGCATGAATATATACAAACATACCTATACATACAAATCTAGGTCGAGCTTACAAATCTAGGTCTAGACCTAAAAAAATCTAGGTAGCGGAAGTATAGGGATACCATACCATACAGTACATACATACATTACATACATTACATGCATTACATACATTCCATACATTGCATACATTGCATACATATTGCATACATATTGCATACATATTGCATACATTGCATACATATTGCATACATTGCATACATATTGCATACATTGCATACATTGCATACATGGCGTACATTGCGTACATTGCGTACATTACGTACATTACGTACATTACGTACATTACCTACATTACGTACATTACGTATATTACGTACATTATGTACATTACGTCCATTACGTGCATTACGTGCATTACGTGCATTACGTGCAGTACGTACGTTACGTACATTGCGTACATTGCGTACATTGCGTACATTGCGTACATTGCGTACATTACGTACATTAAGTACATACATACATACATACCTACCTACCTACATACCTACATACCTACATACCTACATACCTACATACCTACATACATACCTACATACCTACAGACCTACAGACCTACATACCTACATACCTACATACCTACCTACCTACCTACCTACATACATACATACATACATGCATAGAGTACATAGAGTACATACGGCGTTCAAAACATTTCGGTTGTGTGGAGACTACGCAACATCTTTGGACGGCTCTCCATTCCTTGGCGGCAGATCAGCTGAGTCTCTTTCAAGCGTTGGACTTGCAAGGGGGATCGCAGCTCTCATCCTCTATGGATCAGGCTCCGGCAGAAGTCTCTGCTATCACAAGGGCTGCGATGGGGACCCAAACCATTGAAGCCGCGGTCACCGAATCTGAATGGAAACTCCAGACCGAGCAAATTGTCCAGATGACTGTTGACATGACGGTTGCCCAGACAGTAGCTCCAGTAAAGACGCTCATGGATCAACTTCAAGAACTTCAGCGGCAAAGCATGCTATCAGCGCCTGCGGGTAGCGCTTTGGAGGCAGATTCTTCGCACGTTGTCTTGGAACCTTCCGCAGTGGAAAGGCAAGAAACTCCTTCTAGTGACATCATGGATCCTGAGCCTTCGCTTCCCCCTTGTCAGCAAGCAAGACATTCTGGCTCTACCTTGTGCGACAGTTCTTTCCAGTTGGATAGAGCAAGGCAGAAGGAGGAGGGACGAAAAGCTTGCAAAGCTGCCCTCTTAAGGGCTGGATAGGCTCATGATGCCATCCGGTGGAAGTGAACACCCCAAGCATGTGTACCGTCTGTGAAATTGTCCATTTTGTATAGTTTACGTGGGCGTGCGCCATTTGATCTGCACCGCCATCTTATTCCTGGCATGTGTGGCTTTGTAAATTTTCACCTTCAGCCTAGCTGGACCTGCGGGATGGTGAAAAAATACATACAAAGGCACATACATAGATACATACATAGATAAAGACATAGATAGATACATAGATACATAGGTACATAAATACACAGTTACATAATGTTACATAGATACATAGATAGACAGAGAGATAGATACATACATACATAAATAATCATACATACTTAACATTCCTTATAATACATTGCAATACATTGCAATACATTAGATACATCACATACATTGCATACATTACATTGCAGTGCAGTACATTACATTACGTACTTTGCATACATAGATACATATTATCTCTATATGTATGTATAATCATGTGTGTTTGTTTTTTGGTCTATGTCAAAGCTGGATGTTTGTCATGCTTGGGCAAAATCTTCACCAAATCGGCAGCCGCAGGGTGGAATTAGTCCTCAGCGGCGGCGAGCGCGTGGTGAGGGCAGCTCTCAAAATCCACCCCGACGCCCCGACGGTGAAAAAGGTGGGTCAGGTGCCGGACGCCGTCGTGGAGAGTACTGGAGCATCAGCACTAGTGTGGAAGTGGGGTTATAAGTCAATTAATATACATATATATATATATACAGTTATATATATACAGTTATATATATATATACATATATATATATATATTCAAGGGTGATGAACCACTAAGAGGGATAATCGGTTAATCCTCTAAGCATTCCCAGAAGGGAGTGGCCGTCAATTCATTTTCATAGCGATTAAATTAGTCTATGTGAATACTGAATATACCAAACATGTACAACTATAAGGAATCCCTAATGATGGACCCTACGTTTACACAATGCATACGTTTGGATTGGGCGTTTACACATGGGCCATTTTCGCCATGTTAAATCACCAGAATATACTTACAGGATGGTCTCCCAGAGGGTATTTGCATGCATTTGCCAGTCTCAATGTTGTCGGAAATCTCTGTCTGACACTCCCTGAGAGGTTCTAGCAGAAATGCTGGAAGCAGCGAAACGACTTTGAGCTGCTACCGGAGAAAGATCTCTGGGCGCTGGGCACCAGCTGATGATCACAATATACCCGGTACCGGTACTATGTCAGGGTATATCCAGATATATTCGCAATAGGACATATGCAATATATGTGTGGATTATATATAGTATTCAAGAATACAAATATTTATTTATTCATGTTCATCTTTTTATAAACATGTTATATAATAATCAGAATGTACCAAGATCAGGATCCAAACCCGAGGAAGGCTGAACCCCGTAGTTCCAGCTGTTTCTCGCAGGCTTTGGGCGGACCCTCGAAGTGGGCCGCTCTTCAAGGTCTCGGCCGTTTTTTTTTTTGGGCTGGGGGTTGTTGGAGATGGGAAACCACCCATGACCGGGAATGGTAACCATACCAGCTATAAAAATGGTGATGGCTGGGGGATGGTTGTTGTTTTAGCCACATCCAGATATATTTGAATGGTAAATTATTGATATATATATATATGTATACATCTCGCTCCCTCGCTCTCGCTCTCTCGCTCTCGCTCTCTCGCTCTCTCTCTCTCTCTCTTCTTCTCTCCCCCCTCTCTCTCTCTCTCTCTCTCTCTCCCTCCCTCCCTCCCCGGGGCGGACGTTCGCCCAAAGTTTCATTGGGGGTTTAGTTACGTTGTGATTTGTTCAGGGTATATTTCAGATTGTTTTAGGGTTTGCTTAGGGTTGGTTTTGATTTTCTTTAGGGTTTGTTTATTTTTTTCCCTATTTAGAGTTGTTGTAGGGTTTGCTCACGGTTGTTTTAGGGTCTATTTAGGGTTGTTTATAGTTGATTTAGGTAGGCTTAGGGTTTGTTTAGGGTTTATTTTCGTGCTATATATATATATATGTAATGAATATAAAAGTGTATATTTATATATAATCAGCAAGGATAAACGATCCATCATGAAAATGGATACTGGATAAGTTTGGGTGTTACCCTCTGGTGTCACCAAGCATGGTTGGCAACGGGAAATCGATAAATCCGAACCAAAAAACGAATTAAATGCAAGTTTATAGATGGGAAAAAATGAAACTAGGTTGTGGATTTTCCCACAAGCCATGGTCATAGATATCGTAGAGAACATGAGGAAGAAGTCGGTTTGGAATCTGGATAACTGAATAGCATGATAATGGAACCCTTCTAGAGTTATGAATGCTATAGATAATCTATCTATCTATGAATCATGATCTTGATGTTGTCATGGCAATGTCAATGTTTTGGAGAACGCAACCGAGGCCTGGTCTGGTACAGGCGGTCCGAGTGAAGTCCGGCGGCCGTTGACACACATTTCTGTTACGATATGTGTTTGTGCATGTGTGTAATACACATACATATCATATATCATATACAGTATATATACAATATTTAAAAATACCACACGTGGAAATTTATACTTATATATCTATGTATCTAATTGTATATATGCGTATGTATTTGTTCGTATGCACTTATGATTGTAGCACATATGCACACAGAAGGATGTCAGTTGTTGTCCCATTTGTTCCACCTGGTTGTAACACTTTTCGTAGCACAGCATGCTCCATCACAATGCACCTAGCAGCTGCCTGCCATCCGAAACCAATAGCAGCCAATAGCAGTCATCATTCTGGTCATCCTCAGGATACTTGAAGTTTATTTCATTTTTGTATCCAGAGGCATCTCAAGTTTATCTCCCAATTTTGGTTCGCGTAATGTCGGCCACGACCTTCAAACACATGTGCAGTATGTATATATATATATATACATACATAGATCTATCTATCTAATCTGGTTCCCTTTCTATCTGTCTATCTGTTTGTCTATCTACCTATCTATCTATCTATCTATCTCTCTATCTATCTCTCTATCTATCTCTCTCTCTCTATCTCTCTTTCTCTCTCATTGTTTATCTAGATATATGTGTTTACCTATGTGCTATATATATATAGTGTGTGTGTGTGCGTTTTTTTTAAATATATATATATATATATATTTATGTATATACATATACAAATGCATACATTGGTATGTATGTAATATATATATATACATATATATATATACACATAATTATAATATTTATGTGTCTATATGTTTCTATTTATTGCTTGTTGAGGATAGATGTTGTTCTTAGATACTGGGCTCATGGAGCCGCCCCGGTAGGCATGGATGGCACGGTGGCCTCCATGTGGCTCACAGGCATCACCGTGATGCGATTTTTGGAGGAAATCATTTGGATATATTGATTTTTGTGCATTTTTTGGGGGGACTTGGAGATATGTTGTTTCTTGGTATGGGAAAATTGGATGAAATTTAGGGATTTGTTGGGTGTACAGGAAAATTGGATGAAATTTGGGGATTCGAAAAAAAATACCTAGGGAATAGGGTGATTTAATCCTAATTTAAACATATTCAACCCATGATTTAACTGCGAGGGGTTCCATAGCTGGGTATCATCTTCAGATGGGTTCCAAAATTGAAAATTGACGGCTCTGATTCGTATCCAGGGCTGATCGTAGTCATGAGTTTGAGAGCAAAGCAGTCACTTTGTTTCCCAGGGCCTTCCCCCCTAGGTTTCATTTACAGTAGGATTCCCCATGAAAAAGCAGGAAAATCCAAAAATCCACCTCCAGCAAAGTTGTGCCACAGGTGACACTGGTGTCCTTCAAGTCTCTACCACAGAGGACTGACCTTTGGTGATTTTTGACGGCGATGAGGTCTCAAAGGTCCTAGCCCTATGCATCTTCTGGCAACAGAGCCACATTGTGAAATTAGAGAGAGAGAGAGAGAGATCCACTTAAGCCAGTGACAAGTTGGCAATGCGTTTTTTTTTTTAGTACCCTCCGGTAGTCAAAGCTGGCAATTGCACACCCCCTATAAATTGAGGCTTTAGTGGAAAAATCGTCTATAGCTGAGATTTTCCATAATCATGATTACCACTGAGTCACTCGGCAGTTTTTTGGTAGCCACAATCGTGGCAGCCAGGCTGCCACGCATACTTTCAAACACCAAAAAATTGTGAGTTCAATCAGATCACTCCTGTTGATGAAAAGAATCACCACCTTTCGTTTCATTCATTTTTCTGAGATTTGTGTCTACTCCAGATAATCAGATATAGTGGAGGTCTATTCAGCAATCTTTTTAATGCCTGAAATCAAACTGACAGGGCAGAACGGCCTCTTGTTTTATGCGCCAGGAACCTCCAGAGATGTACGAGATGTCGCCCATGCCGGACAAAAAGTCAATCTCCTAGATATGTTTGGCCATTGGGGCCATTGATATCCATTGATCAGAATGAAATAATCCGATCAATCCGATTCCCCCCAAATATTGGGTACCGCCCTATGAACCGGAGTTTGGTATGAGTTTAGTATTGGATGCGTTCATTTCATCTCATGAATTGCGGTCCATAAGGGAGGCATCAAATATAAGAGAGATGTGATGAATGGATCAATTTCATTGATGGGGGTCGTGTCCCAAATTAATCCACCACAAGCGCTTCAGCACCCCAAAAGGCTGCTTGATACTGAGTCAGCATGGTCAGCAGTGTGTCCGTGAAAGACTATCACCCCAAGTATCAAGACATAGTTTCACTTGATCGATGATTTCAAGTGAGCCGTTTGAAATAGCAACCTGTGCATAGTGTAGCAGTGAAGCAGGGTGCAGCCGTTCCAGCCGTTGATGTTTGAAAGTAGTCACCATGATCCCACTCCTACATATGATACTTTGTGGTCGCCTCCCACCCGTCACTTTGCCTTGAAGCCTTCAAGGAAAGTGTGATTTGCTTTGCCTTGGTGGTCATAGCTGGTGGCTAGGAATCCAATAAAAATGACCGCCCCTGTGTTCCAAGCGGATAGTAGCTCTGGTGGGGCTTGAGGTTCTACATCTCTTTGCCGCTCTCTCCTCAGGGGCGGGTCCAGCACGGAATAGCAGGGCTAGATGTGGAGACTGCGGTGGTGATGTCTCAAAATTGCGATATGGTGTGATTGAACACCTGACGCCCAAACCTGATCCGTATGGTATGACTGGGTACAGATGGGTCTTGAAATGACGCGGATGCACCGGGCCCAGGAAGGACCCAGAGGGAAGTATGGTGAGTTGTGTCTTCCAAGCCTTCTGGGCTCGAATACATTGGAGGGGCCGGGCCCCAATCAGCAAGATGAGCCGATGCCTGGCAAATACCATCAAATAGTTCAAGATGTGCCATGTGCTTCTGATTTAGGCGGGCCCCGCCTTTTCAACCATTGCTGTGACTAGGCCTGGTAAGTCCCCTAAATGGGGGGTTGTCCCATACATCAATGGGGTATACCTTATATACCTTGCAACCATGATTAAGCATGGCTGGAAACAAGTTACTATGCTAATAAGGACGATCCTCGAAGTTATCTTTCAAGTTGGGCCCTTCCCCCTGAAACGTCACGTGACAACTGCCATGGCCAAACCTCTGGAGAATGTGGCTTTTTGGTTGCCTGGGCTTGGTCCACCTGTGTCCCAGCTGCAGTTTACGTGCTCCATCGTCCAATGGCAAACTGCCCGCTGCTTGGATCATCCCAGGCGTCCTCAAAGAGCCCTGTGCGCAGCGAACGAGCACAAAGCAAAGATGACACAGGCGGCCGTGGCGGTGGCGGGGGCCCAGAAGAAGTTCTTTAAGTATCAGATACCCATAGCTGCATAGCTAGCCCGTGTCCATACCCAATGGTGTGCTAATTCCTTTCAAGTCCCTTCACCTGACCGATCGCATCCAGACCGCGGTATAGTAATCAGGACATTCTGCCCTCATCCAGGTCGGTCTTGATGCGCGTCCAAGTGGCAGGAGGTTCATAACATTTCATAACCACAAGTATAAGCATGGTGATCAGTGATAATTTATAACCTATCGATTCATTTGTCCATCGCGCTGGGTTTCATCTGTTTCATCTGTGACCACGCGTTCGCATGCCCATGCACGCACATACACGAGATGAATACAAGATGATATTCACCGTGAGTGTTGTGAACGTAATGCAATATATGCAATGCAATGCAATGTAATTTTAATGTAATGTAATGTAATGCAATGCAAGCAATCTAATCTAATCTAATGTAACTAATGTAATGGAATCCAATCTAATGCAACCTAATGTAATGTAACCTAATGTAATGTATTGGAATGTAATGTAATGTAGTATAATGTAATGAGGGAACAACCACTTGGAGTCTTGCATTCCATTTCCTCAAGAAGTCTGCATGAAAACATGACCCGGTCTTGGCGAGGAATGGAAGATGCGAATCTTAAGATTCCCAAGCATTTCTTGCTCGATGGATGTTTGCACCTAAGTTACTAGCTTCTCTGACTGGGTTTTTTATATAGTGGATATACATTATGTATAGCTATACAATGCTATACATATAGACTATAGGTATACGTATCCATATGATGTAGCCAGGCAGATGGAGATACTTATAGAATCTTATAGATATATTCATCATACACAGTATATAGTATCTCACGGACGGACAGGAACAAGGAAGGAAAGGCAGAGGGAAAGAGGTTGAATCAGATGGTTGCAAAGTGGCTCAACCGAAGCGCGTTCAGTTGGGGGCACGTTGTATTTGGCAATTAGAGTACTAGGAGCGTCATGTTGAAGCTAGGATGTCAGGGGAAGGATTGTGGAATGACTCGTGGTGCATGTGGGCTAGAATATCATTATACGCTGCTGTTGGCGTGTCAGCAACATCGAATGGTAGCTCATTTCAGATCATTTCAGTTCGAAAAATGACACTCTCAAAAGGTCGCGCCACATATTCTCTCAATACACATCTCTCCTTGCCCAACTAGCTCTCGTCCCCTTCCCTTTGGCCTTAAGTAAAATTCATGGATTCTATTCAATTACTACTAACCGTGACGCACATCCAAGTAGCTTTTTGAGTAATCCGATCCACACCCTTCACCTCTGATGGCGGCAGGGGCCTCCCCGATGTCACGGCAAAGCTCGTTGCGTTCCAAAGAGCGCGAGCGGCCGACACTCGGCTTGGAACAAGTGGCACGTGGGGGAAAACGGCCCATATATAGATGAGGTACATTATGTACATTGATATACTGATAATATACCACAATATACCTATTATTCAGCATAATTAGCTATGTTATGGTGTTAGAGAAGATGGTAGTAGATTTCCGGATGGTATGGGTATACGTCATTTTTTTAATGCCAAGGGGAGCGCGAATTGGGATTTCGGTGGTGTTTGGTCACAACATCATCCAATGGTATCATGGTATCCCTCAACTTTGACTCAGACTTTGACTCAGGCGGGATTTGGGGGGGATTAGCCTCTGGTAATCAAAGATGGCAAGCCGGGAAATCACGTATATAGTACCCTCTGGTTATTCAACATAGCTATGGAAAATGCCCCATTTATAGATGATGTACCTATTAAAAGTGATTATTTTCCATGGCTATGTTAGTCATAACCAGAGGGTAGTTAATGAAATGGGCATTCCAATGGGGAAATCATCGAGCTCAATGGTGAAAATCTGACCATTTCCAAACGTCTGATGACCGGATTCGAAACATGAAGGGGTGTATATAATTAACATTAATTAACAATAACCAATGACATAATTCGGGTGATCAAATAACCTATATAAATCTGGATTTGTGATGACCTATTTTATTTCTCGTAAAGGGGTGACCCAAAAAATAGATCATTAACATCAATTTCTAATATAGAAAAGCTGAAGATGTTTGGTTTCCCAACGGGGAAAAATTAGGTTTGGTTCATTGTTGAATTTACCACGACATGGCTTGAGCTAGCCTACACTGCTGATTTTGCCAAAAAACGAAACTGCTTGGGCCAGTGGGCTAAATCAGACCTTTCTGCAGCGCAGCCAAGGCAGGATCCACCAATTCCTTCCCGAGGCTTGGCCGTTGCGGACAAACGAACATGTGGAGATTTACCAACACATGGAGAAATAGTGTAAATAGTGGGAATAAACCAAGAAATCAATCTTCACCCACTATTCAACCTCAATAGGTATATACACACACACACACATACATACATACATACATACATACATACATAACATAACATAACACAACATAACACAACACAACACAACACAACATAACATAACATAACATAACATACATTACATAACATAACATAACATAACATAACAGAACAGAACAGAACATAACATACATACATACATATACACATATACATATACATATACACATACATATACATATACATATACATAGACATATACATATACATATACACATACACATACACATACATACATACATACACATACATGCATGCATGCATGCATACATACATACATACACACATACACACATACACACATACACACATACACACATACACACATACACACATACACACATACACACATACACACATATACACACATACACACATACACACATACATACATACATACATACATCATACATACATACATCATACATACATACATACATACATCCATCCATCCATCCATCCATCCATCCATGCATACATACATACATACATACATACATCATACATACATACATACATACATACATACATACATACATACATACATACATACATACATACATACATACATACATACATACATACATACGTACATACGTACATACGTACATACGTACATACGTACATACATACATACATACATCCATGCATACATACATACATACATACAGACACACATACATACATACATACATACATACAGACAGACAGACAGACAGACAGACAGACATACATACATACAGACAGACAGACAGACACACAGACATACATACATACATACATACACACACATATATATATAAGTCACTGGTGGTTTGGAGCAGCAGCCAAGTGATGCTTGCATTGATCGAAACTGTCCCGGAAAGGGAACCAGTATTCTGAGGTTCAAGGTTGAAATTGACCTGTCCTGCCCCATGGCTGCAGTAGTGGTTTCTCCAGCAGTAAATTGCAGCTTTTGAACTTGAAAAACAACAATTCCATCCATCCCAAAAGCCTTCCAAAGCTCTGCTGAAAATCCAACTCCTGATCAATATGATCAAGTATAGAAATAACTATGTTGCAGATAGACATCAACAGTGGTAACTATATTTTTTGTGGCTAAAATCCATGGTGTCCGGTGAAGATCTTCCCAAGAAAACCAATCCGTTGCTCATCACATGTGGTGATCAAATCCTCATTTTCCCAGCGTTTGGATGTTTTTTCCCCAAACGTTTTTCTTCCCCTAGTTGGTTTGGATGCTGAATTTCCCCAAGTTTTTTTCCCAACCCATCCCAATTCCCAGGTGATTTTTTCTGCTGAGGTGAAGTTACCGAGTTTGGGCAGATCCCCGGGGGGTTCACAGACTGCACGGGAGCTTCGGGGTTTCTCAAAGGAGCACTGCGCCCGGGGCGGAGCTGAAAAAATTATTTAGATCCATGGGTGATATCCATATTTGATACTCTCATTGCCATTTTCCCTGATTTCATAGTAAGTATAAATTAGCTATTATATATATATATATTGATAAGATGATAGAGAGATTAACTTTATTATATTTTTGGAGGGATGGGAGTATACAAGCCACTTCAAAAACTAGTTAGAGCGCTTCAACAAGAACAATGGTGATCGCAGAAAAACACCTCTCCTAGTGGGACGCGAAATGATACCGTAAGATCCACTGCCAAATCAGCGTTTATGAAGTTTATTCGACGGGATCAGATTGATAGACATATCAGCTGTTGAACATCGCAATATATCTCATCATTGACTCATCATATTTTATTTGTTCACTGGATTCTATGATTCATGATGTTGCAGTAGAAAAGCGCGACGCTCTGAATCTTCTTACGCCTGTAGGAGTCAAGAACTGGGCCACTCCGACAGTCCCTTGGTCGATGTGCGCCTAGTGCGCCTAAGCATGTTCTGGGACCCAAAAACAAACCAGCTGGGACCAAAGCCACTACTGCAATGAAGTAGCATTTTCTGGATATTGAGTGATCCTTGCCATCATTTTCTGGGACCCAGTGCCTTAAACATCATAAACCATGATAAACCTACCATGTTGTGATGATTTCGGAACCCACCCATGTTTATGTTTGGGTTTACCCCACACGCACCACGTACACCGAGGTCAAGTCAGGAATCGTCCGAACGTGCGAGAAAGCCCAAGACAAGGCCATGGCTTGTTGATGATTTCTCCATTTTCTAGTGTAAAGAATGGCATGATGGTTGGATCTCATTTGGTTCCCTATAAATTGTACTATATATACTATATATAGTGTATTATAATGTCATTTGTACATTTCTATATCTCTTTGGGGGTTGCTATGTGGTGGCTATATGTGATACGATATTTTTTGGGGGAAAACCGACCTCAGCTTGAGTCTCCCTGCCAGGCATACTACAGGAACTCTCGGGATGGAAGCTTCCCCTGCGCATAGCATGTCCATGCTCTCCACGGCAGCTTGGAAGAAATCCCACTGGAAAGCCCTGGACTTGGATGATGGGAAGCGATTTCGGGCTTAGCCCACTTGAATTGGTGGGTACAAACGTGTAAAAAAACCATGGGTTTTCTTTGTTTTGTTTGTTCAGTTGTATAAACTTAGGCTTCGAACTGGTTTGGGAGATCGTGCCTTGCTTTTTGCTGGGTACAATAATCTGAAAAATCAGAATACTATGGAGAATGGGAGCTACAAGATTCAATCTGATGGCAAATTCAAGAATAAATCATCCCCCCAAAATACCATAAATGGGTCGAGGAAATCAGCCCCAGAAGGTAGGTTTCTTATTGGTTTCACCACTCTTTTTTGAAGTTCTGAGATCCGGCCACCCAACATCAAGAATTGGCCATCCAAGTCCCTGGTGTTGTCAGAGTTATTGGTCCCTGATGGACCCTGCAACCCAATGCCATCCAATGCCATCCAAGGACAGCACGGACGCCTCGCCACATATTTCGTATGAAGTCTTGAGGCACGGAAACTCAGCAACTGTTGGTGCTTCTTGGGCTCTCATTTTTGATTTATGTTCACCCAATCAGCCACGGTGGGATGTTGTATAAAGATGTATCAAGATTTCTGGTTTATAATATATATGCATATGAATGCAAAGCGACGTCACGTATTTAGAATTGTGTATCACATTATTGCACGCGCACAAACACACACACACATATATATATACACAATTACATATATATGTATAATTATGTATGCAAACATATATCAAAGATCAAGTGTATGATATCTTCTGGCCATTTTGCCTCGAAGCCTTTTGTTGTACATTAGCTGCCGCTGGGTAACCCCCAATGGCCTCCTCCGGTGTGGCCCCACCCTCTGGCGCAGCGGCGGCGGTGGGCAATGCTGCGTTGCACGGGGCACAGCGTGGGGCGGCCATCGCACAGAAAGGGGTGGTTAATTTGACCATCTACGTTCAGAGGCGATGGTTGGATTATGATCTATGGAAGTCTCTTAGGGGTTCCCAAGACCATAGGTTTCAATACTAAAATGGTGTAGGTTTGGATGATTTGGGGATATTTGGGGTACCCCCTTTGTAGGACACCTCCACATGTTGTTATATTATAACTACATGATATCGGAGAATATATGGCATTTATATGCATTTATGATGTATACGTCGGCTACGTTCAGGATTATGTGTTGGATCGGATCTTGGATCATGTTGGATGATGTTGGATGATTTTTGATTGGATGTTGGATGTACTAATCTAGTTTGATAAGCCTTAGAAATCATAGAACAAGTTCAAATCACTGCTAATTATTTGTGTAAGATTGTTTTTTTCCCCTCAGGAACCCTACGATCGTCAGTGCACTTTGTTGCTTGGTGGGCTTTGCGTTGTCGGTCATCAGCGTGCTCAGCATCATCGGCGTCGCACAGATGAGCAACGAGACAAAATGGACCCCGAGGGATTCCATGCAAATGTTCTATCAGTTCCTCGGCGCCGTTGTAAAACACCGCCGTTTTAATCGCGTTTTTTTTGTGGGTGAATGTTGTGCCAGGTGAATGTTGCAAAGGCCCTTATTTTAGATAATATAGCCGAAAATACCTACTAGAAGAATAGGGTCAGTGGCTGACATTTCCAGCACCAGGTTCATCTTTGGCTTTGTGTTGGTGCTGGTGGACATGAAAGATACGTGGGCAAATTCATTCTTTGGATTGCAGACCAAGCTTTTTCTTTACTGCAACTTCTTGGCAAGCCAGACTGGCAGAGCGTGTTTCTACTTCTACGTCGGTTCGATCTCCTTGTTCTTGCTTCCAAGCTCAGAAACTTTGCTGAATTTCAGTCTGTTTTTCTCTCCTTTAGAAGTGCAGAGTGCTATAGAAAGCCATCATAACACCCTGCCATTTCATTGTCACATCGCGGTCTCATGTTTCAATATTATTCAATCCAGACCACAGGAGATGTGGATGATTTTGTATATCATCCTCGGTGGCTGGCTCTGCCTCCTGGGTCTTGTGATGTTGGGTCTTCGCTTTTGCCAGTGCTGCTTTGGTAACGATCCGCCCCAGAATCCCCCTGGCCCTGTGGGGCAGGCCACACACGTCCAGAGTTAAGGTCCCCGTGGACCCAAAGTGCTGCCCCACAGCGGCTGTAGATCAGTGCTGAAATTCGATGCTTCGCCCTGTGGAAATCTGTCGACATGACCTCGCCGAAACAGGCGAGTGGTGGATTTGCGGTAGGCAAGAGACAACCTGAGACAGCCTGGAACTGGATCGTCGCGAGAAGAAAAGCTGACGCTTTGAGGAGTGTTGGCTCAGGGGACCATCACCCTCCAAGATAAAAGCCTCCAATCACCAAGTTTGAATGAGACGGATAAGATTGGCACCTGATAAGATTGGCACCTGCTAAAAAATAGTGATAAATATATATATATATATGTGTGTGTACTATCAACATTGGTATCCCATGCACGGCCCTGAGTGTATATACATCACTTGGATTGGAGACCTCTGTTTTTTCTTCAATGTCCCGATTGTTTCATGGCCAGGTTGGTGGAAGAAGCCAACAGCGTGCCATCAGGCCAGCCTTCGCATTCCAGGGTGGTGCAGGCTGATGTTTGATAACCTTGGACCTGGTTCTTTCAGAGGTTTGACCATGAGAGTCTCATTTCTGTGCGTAGTTGCTCGGGATCCATGATGAAAATTTATGACATAGATATCTATCAGCAAAAGTAAGAAGCTATGTGTTGGCACTGGTCAATTGGAAGTTGCACAGTTTATTTTGGTGACACCTGCGATGTTTACTAAATTGCTATGGCTTCCGGCTTCAGTTGATGTCTTGCTTCCAGTAATTCTTGCCCTTGTTGAGGTGTTTTTTTCAGCATAGATGGTTCGGAGCACCTTGTTTGTCATGTCATGTCATGTCGCTCTTTCTCCATCAAACCCAGGGAGAGGCAGCATTGATGCAGTGTCACAGTCGTCCTCTCGATCAAGCCCAAGTCTGGATATGGCGAAGCAGGAAGCCCAGCTGCCTCTTTTTTCAGCGACCCATTGGTGATCCTCAAAGGATGCACGGCAATCACATGTTTGTGGTGATGATATGGTGATTTTTGTGAGCGTAATTTTTTCGGGGGAAGTGTTTGCATGCATCACTTAAAGAATGGTAAAGAATGGTTGCTCATTTTGTGCCAGCTGCAAATTTCAAGTGGTTGTGTTGCTATCGGTTGTAAAGAGATGATCCCAAAGAATCGACCGCACCACCCGAGAGCCAGAACCCGAGGTCAGACGTCGAAGACGTGAATGACCGCAGCATGTCCATTGAAGCTATGCAAGGTAGTCAGCTGGCCTTCTGAACGCCACAGGGTGTCAAAAAATCCTGAGGTATTTGAATGTTCTTGAGAAATGTCTTTGAGGAATGGTCCAACAAACATGAAAAGAGCCCAACTAGCTTCGACATGTCGACATCATTGCGGGCTGGTGAGTCATCCCAGATACAGATGATAGATAGTTAGGATCGGATATCATCAGATAGATAAGATGGATAAGATATGATAAGATAAGATACGTTGACGTGAAATAAGATAAGATGAGATCGACGGAAGGACGGACGGATGGAAACATAGACAAATTTATGTGGCCGCGGCTCAAACTGTAAGGGTCGATCCATACCCAAGATCCGTACATCATCACACATATCTAAGGGATATGATGATCGATATGATCCCCAAAAAGATAACAAGTTCAACTAAGTTGTACTTATACCAGGCCATACCAGGCCACTTCAAGGCCATCTCAGTAGACTCAGATCCAGATCTCGCCAGGGATTCCAGATTTGGAGCTGATTCGGGCACCAGTTCCAGTCCCTGGGCTCGATGTAACCGTGAGGGCGGAGGGTAGATTGTTCAAACCATGCCAGCGTTTAGATTATAGATTATATTAAATTAACGATATTTATATAAAACTTATGTTAAAACCTGTGTATTTATATGTTTTATATTATATATATATATAAATACCACTTATATATATATATATGTGTGTGTGTAATCCCAGTTGATGGTCATCCCGAATTATTGATTTGGGATGACGATCCCCATGAACTCATGATCAGCATTGAAGCAATGTTACGACACTTGGATGGATGCTCAAGGGGACCGTCATCTTTTTTATCCACATGTTCTGCACCTTGGATGTCCAGCCAGGGTTCTGAAGTCCCATCGTGTACATCAAATATTTTTCTGATGTGTTGGTCTGAGAATGGGAAGGCTGGTATTCCCGAGCATTTTTTCGACCGGAATTTGCAGGTCTCACGGGAGGGATATTCTGGTGGGGCTGAGCTCTCAGTTTTGCAACGGCGAAGTGGGGATGATTTCTGTTGGAAATGAATATAGCAACGCACCTATGATCGTGATGATACATTTCCTAGCTACATCATCATTACGTGCACATATAAATACATAATTAATTTCATTGCACGTTGTTCCAGATGTATTCATACATGCATCTACTGGTAAATGGTACATGCATGTAACTGCATGTATTTTGCATGGACTTACGCCATGTAACGTGTTTGCAAGTGCCCAACATCCCTTGAATCTATTCTGAGGTAGCGCCGCCAGCAGACCTACCGAATCCCAGCAGCCTACAACTTCCTAAGGCTGTGTTGCTGGGGTTGGCACCAACCAGCTTGGAAAAGAGCCAGCCGGTGTTCATCTACGTGGAGCACCCCCAAAATTCCAGCTTGACTGGGAGAATTGTCATCGATTTTGGGAGTTTTGGGGTATAGCCATTTTTGGACCAACCATACCAACCAAGAAAGCTTGGGGAATCATCTTGTTGGATCAGCTGTATCCGATATTGAGACTTTCTGATAATGCGTGTGAGATTGCAATTATCATGGTGGTGGGTTGTGCTGAATCTTTTTGCAGGTTTGAACATGTGGGAATATATCCGACATATCCTGTGAAACCGCTCTGCTTTGATTTCTCCCCGAAATCAGACATATTTTGACTTACTGTGAACAATTACCAGGGGGTATCATTTGAAGATGGCGCAGCATGGCGCAGCTAGGCAAAGAACTACGTGCCAGCCCGTGCCTGGGGGAGTACAGCAACAGTTGACTCGAGCAAAGAGGCAACGGTGGTGCCAGCTGAGAACACCATGGATAGATATGCTGGTTGGTGGTTTGGAAATGTTTGGAACATTTTTTATTTTTCCATTTGTTGGGAATGTCATCATCCCAGCTGACGAACTCCATCATTTTTCAGAGGGGTAGGTATACCACCAACCAGTATGGATAGTTTCAGGATGTTGTAAAAGTGGAACCGGTTTTAGCCCAAGTCTCAACGGATAATTTTCAAAAACCCCATGGTTTTTGTGGTCCAGGAAACGACCTTCCGTTGTGAAGCCAGCAGGATGCATCTCCTGGGTCACCTTTAAAGGCTAGGAGGAGCGATGGCGATCGGGATCCAAGAGCTATTTTTCGATCAATGTTTTTTAAAAACATTAGACAGATTATTTATGGTATCCAAATGATATTTTATATATGATATTTCCAGAAAAAATGAGATGAGCTTACTTTTTGGGAATCGTTGGTGTTTTTTTTCTTTCTCTGCACTTTGCAGATTCATCGTTTTGCTTTATGTTTTGCTGCGCTTACAATGAATTACATGTGTTCGTGGCCCTTGGAATGTCTGCTCCAAACCCCTCTATGAAATAGCAGGGGTCAAGGCCCGGCATAAAGCATTTTATGCATGGTTTTTCTGTTGGTTGGACCCCCTCATTTTATAGACTTGGGGGTCCGACGTCAGGGCTCAGCAAACTATATGCACTCTAGGGGTCAATGACACCATTTTATGTCTATAGAATAGCGAGCAAGACGCTCCCCCCCTGTTTGGAACATACATCCCTGAGAGGTTTGTAATTTTGGCTTGTGCTTTTCCCATTGGTTGGTTGATTAATAGGGGGGGTTGTTTACCCCTTTAACAACAGGTTAAATGATGATAGATTGGTATACCAAACCGGTGGGCTTGTTTGAATCTGATGACTTGACTTGCAGGACATATAGACGTCATCAGACAATGACTAATATGACTACAGGCGGCTGCTGGCGACACATGGAGACACTGTGCCAGTGCCACATGAATTGTCAGCAGATTGAGCATGTCGATGAAACTGGCACTCGATTGTTGACATGTCGCTAGCATTGGTTGGCATTGCTTCAAGGATTTAGAGCCACCAACCTGCCTGACCCAGCTTGACTCTGGCATGTTAGCAGGATGTCAGCCGTGCCACACAATTCACCAATCAAGTTACTCCTTTTGCACGGCTCAATACATGGCAAGGTTGCGCAATTGATACTGTTTTGTAAACATCAGTGCTTTCGATGTGGCATACTGACAGTCTGACAGCCAAAATGCATCAGTGTGCCTGCATGTGATTCTATAACTGAAATATGTTGAAATACGTTGACATACTTTAATATTTGACATAATTCCCCCTTCCCCAAGATATTGACATAGACCCCGAAAATAGCAATTTTGGACTGCAGAAACTCATCCATCCCGGGTGTCGCTGTCATTCGCTGTCCACAGACCTGTAGGTCCTGGACAATCGGAGACCCAAAAGGAAGAGGTGAACGAAAGGCCCGGGCCTCCACAGCCCTTACCGCGCCCCAATGCGTCACTGGATGTCTGGGGGAGAACATTCAACCATAGAATCAATCGTTTATAATATCACATGATATGTGTGTATATAATTATATGTTATATACATAAAAAGCATACACATGGAAATATACATACAAGCATACAAATATAGAATACATATATCATATATATATATATAATTATATGGTTGCATATATATACCCTATAAGTCTGGGACTATTGTTTTTATAGTCTTTCGGGGAAGACTATTGTTGGAACTAAAAGACTATTAGAGGGTCCAACATGGGTACTATATGGTACTATATATATGTCCCGCGCAGAGGCTCAACAAGGTTCAATAGAATTTATGTGAATCATATATACTATTTACAACTAGCGCAATCTATTACATGTATAGATGTGATGGCGCAATCTATTACATGTACAATGTTCAAAGATTGTTCATGACTACTTATTCTGGTGTCCCTTTAAATGTAAATAATGAGGGAATGATGTATCACCCACTAGCCCAATGCTTCCCATGGCGTCGCCCTATGATGTCCAATGCCTTCGCCCCATGATGTGCCGTGGATGACATTGCTGGGGACGCATTCGATAATCTCAGGATCTTATGCAGCGTGGATTGCACTATGATCAGAAATTTATGTTCAAAAATGGCACATGCAACTGTAATAAGTTCAAGCCAGTGGTAATCCCAAATACTCTCAGGTAGATCGATCCTGAATGAGAATCAGAAAAGCGTTACTGAGGAGTGCGAGGCCTAGATCCCAATTTGGCAAAACACTTTTTTTGAGATAGTTGTTAGCAACCTTCAAGAATCCAACAGTTGTTGCCCATATACACAACACACATCAGAAAAAAATACATCCCTTCAGGATTGGCATCCGATTTGGGGCTTCAAGAAGCACGGCCAATCGTACATCCAGGTGCCTATCCCCCTCCACGGATGTGCATGCACCTTTTGTTTTTTGCCACTGTTTTATCCTAATTTATGCCATGCCAGAATTGGATGAATTGATTCCTTCGCAAGGTCTGGGTTCGAAGGGGTACATTGGCAAATCACCCGGGATGTCGTATATGTTTCAGGTATATCTTGGGCAATACCCTATTAGCCTATTAGATCGATCTATATAGTTATCAATACCCTATTAAATCTATATAAAATAGCCCCAAAAGATTACCCCATATTATAATTATCAATACCCTATTAGATCTATATATAATAGCCCCAAAAGATTACCCCATATTATAGTTATTGTGTGAGTAACTCAACTTAGTGGTCCTACCCTGATCCCTGAACACATTTTTTTTGTCGCCCGTGGCATCAAATCCCATGGCCGCAACAGCTGCCGAGCGCATTGGGCTCCTGAAGGATTGGCGGGCTCATGCTAGCCGCAAGTGGAGGGTGGGTCTTATCACTCTGGGTATTTGATTGCCACCACCTTTTTTCATTAATTTTCTGAACTATATTCTTCAAAAATAATATCCGATTTAGTATCATCATTTTTCCAGATGTTTTCCCCTAACCCTGTGGCTATTCCCACATGTTTTTCCATGAGGAGTTCTTCAAGGATATTTTGGAGCTAAAGAATTTCATTCCAGAAAGAAGGATGCTTCTGCGGCAAAGGGCTGGGTTGAGGAGAAAAGATAGCACAGTAACCTGGCACTTAACACCAACATGTCAAAACCAATGTTGCTCACCAGTTTAAATTTTGTTCCGGTTTTGGCTTATCACTTCTTTTGAAGTGATATGACTGAGGTTCCACCATTTAGCTTTGTCAGCAGATTTGCTCAAGGAGAGATCAGGGAACACGAAGCGACTTATAAGCAATTGCTTGGGAACTATCGTTTTTCAGTTATCACAACACCCAATATTGAAGTTTCCTGCTAAAGACATATATATGTTCCCCCCGTTTTTTCTCAGGTTGAAATGGAGGAGAATTGCTCCTTCATGGTGGAATTCTTGGGGCAGTTCTGTGAGCGTTCGCCAACAGACACAGAGCTGGAGGACTATATGATGTTACTGGGCGATCTAGGTTCCTTTTCGATGTATACATTAATTAATAGTGGCAGTAATTCCATTCCCCTGTATCAGTAGCAAGGAGGCACTGGCATGGGCATCCTTGACGTATGGCCTGAATCCCCAATTTGGTGTTTCGGAGCCAGAGCACCGAGTCTCTTGGCAAGGAAAGCATTCACCTGAATATGGATGATGAATTGCTTTTGAAAAATGTTCAAATCATTTTGTTTGCTTTGTTTATCAATTGAACCTTCAATCTGAGTGATGTAATTTAAGGCATGGGCCTCCATGGAAAGTGGTGTGATAAGGGCCCTGGCGAGCTACTGTATGAACCGTTTCCAGCGCACACCAAACACAAGGTTCTGAGCTTAACTCTCAACTGTTCATGGATCGTGTTCAAGTTTAAACTATGGTTTTTAAAAAATACCCATACCCAGGCTTTATGACCATAAAGCCTCCACCGCTATCAAAGTTCCCAGGGGTGGCCGTGAAGGAATGGCCAAAATCAAGTCAGTGATTCGGGCAAGACTCCAGGCCGGAGTTTTTCGGGAACCTGAGTTTGGACGCAAAAAATCTAGATAATCTAGATCGATATATATCAGATAAATTCATAGGCCCCATTTATCCAGATTTCATGCCATAAACCCACCTGGAACCCAGCACCGGTGGAGGCCACCAACCAGTTGACACCAGCTGGCAAAAAGAAGGCGACAAGGGGTCGAAGTGCGTCAAAACAGGAGACTTGGTGAGTTGGCTGATGTTTGCCAACTTTCTAGTTTTTTGCTAGCCAGTGTTGGCGACAAGAAATCAACAACAAAATAAAATCCATGCTCACATTTTGATCACACTTCAGAATTGCCACCATGAGCAATGTTCTTATGGTTCTAAGTTGCCCCTTGCAATAGGACCTGGGAAAGGAAACGAAGGACAGTGAAGAAAGCGAGGAGAAGGAGGATGCACAGGAAGAAGAAGAAGAAGAAGAAGCAGAAGAAGAGGGGGGAGAATATGACAAAGAAGATGAAGTGGAAGGCGAAGAAGAAGAGGAGGAGCAAGAAGAAGATGAAGATTTCCGAGGTTCAATGAGAATACCTGACGATTGGCCCCATGATCGGCTTCCCCACCCTGATGAAGCAGAGACCCTTGAGTATCTACAAGAGACACAGCAGGAACCGAGCCCAAGCCCTCAGAAGCCCGAACCTGTGTTGACAGGCCGGCACTTGGAGCGCAAAGGTGCAAAGGATTTGGAGGGAAATAAGATGCCAGTGACAACAAGCAACTCAGAGAGTCAGAAAATCGAGGAGGCTGAGGAGGCTGAGGAGGCAGAAGAGACGGAAGAGGAAGAAGAAGAAGATGAAGCAGAAGAACCACCAAAGAAGGAAGAGCCGAAGACAAAAGGAAAGAAGCAGAAGGCAGAGAAGAGAAAGGATGCTGAAGAAGAAGAAGAAGGAGATAAGGAGGCTGAGGAGTCAGGAAGGGAAAGCAAAGCAACAGAGAATCGACACCACAAAGCATCCCGACCCTCGAAAGACACCGAGCTTGAAGCGAAGAAGGCAAAGAGAGATGACAAGAAAGTTGAGGTGGAAATGCAAAAAGCTACAGACCGCAAAAAGCTTGAGGAGACTGAGGACGTAGACAGCGAAGAAGACAAAGCAGAAGAGCCACCAAAGAAGGAAGAGCCAAAGGCGAAGGGAAAGAAGCAGAAGGCAAAGGAAAGACAGGAGGCTGAGGAAAAGACAACATATGAGGAGGCTGAGGAGTCAGAACCTAAAGGCAAAGCAATGAAGAAGCAGGAGCGCAAAGCAGCCCCACCCTCGAGAGACACCAAGCTTAAAGCGAAGGAGGCAGAGACAGATGAGAAGCATAATGTGACGAAAACAAGCAACTCAAAGAATCAGAAAATTGAGGAGGCTGAGGATGCAAAAGATGAAGCAGAAGAACAACCAAAGAATGAAGAGCCGAAGACAAAAGGAAAGAAGCAGAAGGCAAAGAAGAGAAAGGATGCTGAAGAAGAAGAAGAAGAAGGAGATAAGGAGGCTGAGGAGTCAGGAAGGGAAAGCAAAGCAACAGAGAATCGACACCACAAAGCATCCCGACCCTCGAAAGACACCGAGCTTGAAGCGAAGAAGGCAAAGAGAGATAACAAGAAAGTTGAGGTGGAAATGCAAAAAGCTACAGACCGCAAAAAGCTTGAGGAGACTGAGGACGCAGACAGCGAAGAAGACAAAGCAGAAAAGCCACCAAAGGAGGAGGAGCCAAAGGCGAAGGGAAAGAAGCAGAAGGCAAAGGAGAGACATGAGGCTGAGGAAGAAACGAGAGATGACGATGCTGAGGAATCAGAAAGGGAAAGCAGAGAAACAGATAAGTGTCCCAGAAAAAAGGCCAAACTTTCGGCGAAGACTGAATCACTGTTCAAGGCACTAGACGAGAGCAAGCAGAAGAAGAATGAGAAGAGTGCCACAAAGAGTCGAAAGAGTGGGACACCTCAGGAGACTGGGGATGAAGACAAAGAAGACAAAGCAGAAGAGCCACCAAAGAAGGAAGAGCCAAAGGCGAAGGGAAAAAAGCAGAAGAGACAAGAGGCTGAGGAAGAGACAAGAGATGAGGCGGCTGAGGAGTCTGGAAGGGAAAGCACAGCAAAGAAGAAGCAACACCGCAAAGAAGAAGACACCGAGCTTGAAGCGAAGAAGACAACGAGAGATGAGCAGACAGAGGTGGCAACACAAAAAGCTACAAAGCGCGCTAAGCCTGAGCAAAGCCACAAGGCAGAAGACCAAGAAGATGAAGCAGAAGATCCACCAAAGGAGGAAGAGCCAAGGCCGAAGGAAAAGAAGCAGAAGATAGAGACAAGAAAGGATGCTCCAGAAGACGCAAGACATGAAGAGGCTGAGGAGTCAGAAGCTGAAGACACAGCAAGGAAGGAAGAACGAACTGCAGACCGACACTCAAAAGACATCAAAGAATTGAAAGTCAAGAAGCCAAACATAGATGAGAAGGCCAGAAGTGCCAGGAAGCGTGTGCAGCCTGAGGAGACTGGGGAGGCAGGTGACAAAGGCAAGGAAGATGGAGGAGAAGATCAACTGAAAGAAGAGCACATGCCGAAGGACAAGAAGCAAAAGACAAAGACAAAAGGAGGGGAAGATCCTGGCAAAGATACTGTCACCGTAGACAGTGACGATGAAAAGAAGGAGGCTGATGCAGGTACTGGGACTTTCCAAGACATGAAGGGTCCTTTAGTCAGTGAGGAAAGGTTCTTGAGCAAAGATCAAGAGGAAAAAGCCACCAGAATCATGAACGAGCTGACCAAGACCCACAAGGAGCTGAACTTGTTAAACAACGACGACCTCATCAAGGCACAGAGAAAGATTAGCCAAACCCTGAAGGAAGATGAAGAGGAGGATGACGACAATGTGGAGGACGAAGACAAGATACTTCGTTTGGCAGAGGAAGAATCAGAAGATCGGAAGGCAGGAAGAGGCCAAGGACGAGGACGAGGACGAGGACGAGGAAAAGGAAGGGCAAGAGGGCGAGGAAAAGGACATGCCAAAGGTGATAGTGCAGGAGATAAGAAGAATGATGAAGAGCCCAAGGAGGAAAGCAAGAAAGATGAACCAGGAAGAAGTAGGAAGAGCAGCAAAGCCAAGAAGCCAAGAGGAGATGCAAAGGCAGATCCTGAGGAGAAAGAGGCTGAGGAGAAAGAGGCCGACACGTCTGAAGGAGAGAATCTGAAAGCAAAGAAACGCAAAGACCAAGAAGCGAACAATGATGGCAGCAAACCGAAGACCACCCAAAAGAAAGCGGCGACGGCAAATGAGATGAAGAGTCCTTTGAAGTTGGCGGCAAGGGCCTCAAAGCGTATCGTGAACCAACAAAAGACAGGAGAGTCAAAGACAGGAGGCGATGATGCGAGAAGGAGGCTGGAATTTGCAGCAGAAGGTGGCAACTCTGGGGCTGAGGCTGAGCCAGGAACCCCCCGAAAAAAGGGTAAAGGCTACGTACGAAAGACCAGTGCTGAAATCGATACTTTACAGCATGTAGTTTTTATTTCTATCCCTGCAACAAAAAAACATGCAAGTGCACATTTTTCTTTTGAACAAAAAACCGCTACAAACACAACAGTCTCCCAGGAAAAAGTTCTACGTGAGCTGGACCTGGCGATGGCATCTTCATCTTGTACGCTGTTTCGTTACCCCGCGGAAGTGCAGCACAGCTTGAAGGTGATGGAGGAGCAGGAAGACATGGAATTGTCTTTCAAGTTCGGCCCCAAGATCTTGGCTGATTGGTGGATTATGATCTTATCAAAATTCATCATTTTTTTTCGATAAAAACGATGCGTAGGTATCCTGATGTTGAAAGAAAATCATCCTATATGCTGTGTTTCAAGTGTAGCCTTTAAGTCTTTCAGTGTGGCTGTGACTTCTGGGACCCAAGGACATTCACAGTGAGATTCCCCAAAGGCAATGAGCCTGATTGTGACGACCCGGGCTCCATTGGAGTGCTGTCTTGGGCCTAGTCTAGTGAGGTAGTTTTTGGAGATAGAATTCAATCTGAAAGACTACTCAAAATTACCTTTTTTACTCGATTCTACCTGGGAGATTCCTACAAGCGGGGGTCCAAAAATCGTCAAACATCTATAGTATGTGATATTTATCTAGGGGCACAATGCGTTTTGGGTCACTACATCATTAGGAAAATATTGTTGCACAGTGTTTGTGTTAATGTGTGCTATGGATGTGGTTGAGGTTGAACTCCCGCACCTTCTTTGCTGGAAATGTTCCCAAAGACCGAATCGAAAAGGTAAACAAAGTTCTGGGACTATCCCTGAATGTGACTTGCCCTGCAGCGTAAAGAGGAAGCGCCTAAATCCATGTTCGGTTAATGCTTACGTTTGTTATATACTATTTACATGGCTCTGTGGGGAAGCTCCCATCTCAGGTGAATACTCGCAAGGGTGTCAGCCTGTCATGGGCCAAATTTGGGATCTTGAAAGCGTTGGGACCTTATATAGCAATCACAACTATGGTGAGCCCAATTTTTATCTGATGATGAATTTGAATTAATTGTATAGTTGTACTGGCCCTTCCTCAGCGCAAGGTGGTCTATGGCTAAGCAGCTGGCAGGATGGGAGGCTTTGGGCAATGAGGAAGATTCTAACGATGTTTCCTGATACTGAAACCAGTACAGGCTAGAGCACCTGTGTCGGTGTTGACAACTGCGACTGGCTAGCATAGAGGGGTACATGCCTAGCAAGAATGAGGGTCTATTGGTTTAAAATGTTTACTTAGTAACATTTATCGATCGACATCAAGCAATCATATATTCACTATAAGTTATCTTCAATCACTTTGAAGAGCCTTGTAGGTCAGGGCTAACCCCCAGCTAGCCTCAGTCCCAATCTATCTTGTGTGAATTCCACACTACTTTTGGCTGTGCCAGTCGGGGTACATGGCGCAGGTGAAAATACGTTTGCGATCTACAAGCTTTGAATGTAGCCATATGTGAAGCAAATTGATTTCATTGCTTTGAAATGAAATTAAAACCCTGGATTATAAAATGCAGCATTTTGGATCACACGATGCATTAAGTGGTAAACACCCGGGGTTCGCTGCCCTTGACCATGCCCCGATCAGCCGGGTCTCCTTTGGCATTGAGTGCCAGAGCATCACAGTTGCTGGTACTCCTTGGTGCACCATTAGTCTTGCAGCATGGCCGCATGATTGTACAATCCAACAAGCAATCAACATGTCAGAATTCGAATCCGGTCAGCCAAATTTCTTTTGGGTGCATCTGTTTGACTAAGTTTACATTGCATAGACTATGTGGTGGAGAATTCGCCGCGAGAGCTGGCCCATCGTGTTACAGACTTAGGAATTTAACAGCCATGCTACCCAAAACCAACTTGAGCATCAGTGATACAGTTCTCCCATGTTCTCCCCTGTTATATCCCCTGCCCTTCTGCTGCCTGTTTTCCGAGGATTTGTGGAACATCGATCTCTTTTCTGGACAAGGAGCCATACATACTGCCTTCAGCGCTGTCCTCACTGAGAAGGGTTGGAAATGTGGATTTTGGGAACAAATGCAGCTTGGGGGAATATCACGATGAAATCTAACCAGCCTTAGTTTTTATTCAGTGAAACGTGGTCAAGCCCAGATGCTTGTTGCTAAGATCAAAGCAACCTGAAGTCGTACGATGCTTAGCCTACAGTGTTTGGCAACCAACTAGTTTGCATTTTATCAGATTGGTATATTGGTATCCAATATGAGCTCAAACTGAGGAAAGGCTTTGATGTGGCCACCGATGGAGTGGAAGGGGATATAACAAGCACGCCAGATTCTCAAAACACCTCAAGTACAGTACAATCTATTCAACCTTATTTTTTTCCGATACAAACATGCAGTGATACCAAAACATGAATAAAATTGAACCTGTCAGTCACCAAGGGTCGGCTTCCTGAAGTCTGTACAACTTGTACTACGAACGAAGGAAGGCGGACTAGCAACTGCTGGTCCGCCGTGTGGAAGTTTTGTGTTTATCAATGTTGCTACCAGCAAACGATCGAAGTACAGACCTCTTGGAGATAGCAAACGGGGCTACGTGCAACAAGCAAACATGCGTCTTGATTGAAGCACAAGTGCCACATCAATTGTTTTATATTGTTTTATACTGTTTTTGCGATATGTTCACAATGTGTCCACCTTTTATTACCTGGTGCCCAGGATAACGGCAAGGCTATGTCTTTTACTACTACTTTGTTTCGTGAGATGTGTGCTGAGCCTGGCGGAGCAGCCAGGGTCAACTTTAATGGGTTTTTTCCCTTATGTGGCTTGGTTGGCCAAAACTGTCTCCCTCTTTCTTCCCTGGCTGGCGACCAGGTTGCCACTCAGTTGAATCTTCAGGACCCAGGACCCGGTCAGGATCAGAGATGTGTGTCTGTTAGTTGTACCAAATTTATGGCCGTCTCAAGGGTTGAAGGTATTAACGCCCATAAAATCATAGCTCAAGGTTCAGCTCACATCTCTGAACCTTACCAAGGAGTACAGATTTCATGTTTTGACAGAGTTCTGCAAATATTTGGCATGGTTCAGTGCGCACTTATTTGGCTGCCCTCATCTGAGTTACATGGGAGTTTGGGGACATGCGAATTTGAAGCCGACTTTGACATTTGGAAGTTGGCTGGTTCCTTACAATGTTTCGAATCAAACCAACGGTCGAAAATTGTCAGTATCATTTCTAAAATGCATAGATCAATATGTCTGGTGATTTGCCCGGCCTTTATGCCTAAGTCCTTGGGCCTATCGCCTGAAGAAGAAGCTCACCAAGCGGGTCAGACAGCGTGCACTGAAAGCCAAAAAGTTGGCACGCACCTATATCGATTCAAAGGGTGTGAAACGCGTGTGCCAAACTTAATCCGTTCTAAATCTGGTTTCTTGCGTTTGTTTTTGAACAAAGAAGCAACATTTTGTTGGCCAATGTGCGAATCCATATGGTACATTTCTATCCATCTGCACTGAGGTGTGGCACAAAGGCCCTTAAGAATTCTCAAGTATATCCCCGAGGGTATGGCAATGCTATCTGTTCCTTCCACACAAAATGGATGGTTCCTTGGCTAATCGACAGTGTAAAGGTTCAAAATTGTTATTTTGTTTGCCCTTGAACGAGCCATCCCAACCCGATCTCCTGCCATCAGGAGGATGTCGACAACTTGAAGGTATTCCGTGAAGCCATCTATCCACCTCAAGGCGGCTTGGCACATGCAACCCTGCAGAAGATCAAGGAGGCTGGGACCCTGGGGTTGTGAAAATTAAATTCGGCTTACTGTTATTTTAACAACTAGATATATTTGGATCAATTAGACCGACCGAAATTGTATATTATATGTGTTCCACAATCACGACATGGGAGGCCCCATATAGATGGCGACACGCCTGCCTTTCTGAGCTGAGAGATTTCTTGGTTGAAGAGAAGAAGGCTGGTAGGTTCCACCCCTTGATTAGTGGAGGCCTAGACTGACCAAAAAGGTTGTCATGGCATGGTGTCGTGATGTGCTCACGATCTCGTACTAATTTGAAATTACTTGCACAGCGCTGCAAATATTTGCAGTCAAAATACATTGCACAGGCCCTTTGGAAATTCCAATTGATGATATGATGATAACATATAATAATACCCTTGAAAAAAAACATATTTGCATTTTATGGGATGTGGCCTATGGACTTTCAGGGACTGATTGGATTTTACATCGAGCAGCTTAGCCCAAGGGGAGCCAGAAAAAAAAGTAGAGTTTCCAGGGGACTAGGGACCGTGAATGAACCGTGAATGAGCGTGAATGAACCGTGAACGACCATTTTTGGGCGTGAAAGACCATTTTTGGGCGTGAAAGACATAACCCCCAAAACATCGCCAAAAATCACTATTTTCTAACTAGGATTGATTGAATTCAATTCAACATATTTCAAGCCAACTTGGGATTACTATTTCAAACCAATTCACAATTCATTCACGGTCCCTGGATTTCCCTTGTGATTTCTGACTTTTGCTCCATTCCCAATCATGTTTGGGACCAAATACCAGTATGTGGCTTTCAGGTTATTGGTTTGTCAGTGACATTTACTCTCAGGCCAAGAACTGGGTCGTCTGTTGACCTACTTTTCCACCCCCCGAAATGTTGGGGGCGGGTAGTGCTTCAGAAGTGTTAGAACGGGCGGCCAAACGGGCTGCTCGGATTGCTTTGATGGATTCATGTGGCTTGGAGTCTGAGGAGTTGGCCACTGACAGGACAGGTTTTGTCATAGCTTGGGGCCTGAACAAAAATCATTTTATATTTATTCCTTATTTATTTATCAATCATTTATGATTACTATCGATATGTTAATTATAAAATTATTCATCTTTTATTTAACAATCTTTTATCATTTGGGAATGCCTGGAATCGAAAGCACGACCATCGGATTATTTCCCAATCCAGTTGGGATCTTTACCAAACTATATGTACTAGTCCCCAAATATCTTCTGTTGTGAGGACAGCCCCAACAACAAAGAAGGCAAAGCGTGTTCCACCTGATGCAGGCTGGTTTGGGGCCCTGGCAACTCTAATGTCCGAGGCAAACACTGCCTGGCAATGCAGGCTTGACTTCAAGTGCGTTTAAGTGTCCAAGATGTGAGAGTGGTATAGCACACAAGAACATACACGCATGCATGCATACATGTATACAGGGATGATGCCCATAAGAAAGAACAAAGAACAAGCCACACATACCACCGGTGATGTGGTTGATTGTTCTTGTTAGTGATGTTGATTAATGATATTTTTTTTTCCGGCCAGGTTCTGATGCTTCTACTGTGCCTGCCACGGAAGATGAAGTGAAAAGAAGGAGAGAAGAGGTAAGGAAGACACCCAGACCGCAGATCAAAGAATCCAAGTCTACCATGGAACTTGGAGAACGTGAGCCAAGGTTGAGGCGTGACGTTCAGAGCCACGAACTCCTTGGCGAGCCGAAGCGCAAAGCACAGAAGCAACCAGCAACTGCAGTGAAAGCCAGAGCAGCACCACCAAAGTCTGTCAGCCCCAAAGCAGCTCAAGGTGATGCAAAGGTTGAAGGTACGACTCCTGATCGTAGTCAAGGGGTCACTGCCCTTGCTGTTCAGGAGTGCTTGCATCGGAGGAACACGGCAGAGTTGCAAGAACCAACCACCCCCCCTGCTCCCAGTAGCAGTGGCAAGAGAAAGCAATCTCCCAGTGGCAGTGGCAAGAGTAAGCAATCTCACGCCAGCAAGTCTAGTGGGAAGAAGGCGACACCTGCACCTCCACCACCTCCACCCCCGTCAGAGTCTGAACACTCCCAGAGCGCAAGTGAGAGTGAGAGTGATGATGAAGAAGCGCTTGCCTTACAAGAAGAGGTCGTGAGAGAGAAGAAGGAGGCTCATGCCAGGTACATGAGGTTCAGTCGAAGTCTCACGAGTTACTTGGATTTAATTTTGATCCGATCTGTTTGAACCGTTGTTAAAAACACGATGTCCTGTCCTAAGGGACCCAGAAAAATTCAAATCAGGTTCAAGATCATGGTCAATCATCATGTCCTGCGTGTGTGTGTGTGCATGCATGTATGTATGAACTGTTCATTTGACACGATGCATGTTGCACATGATGTGTCATATTCAAAAAAACAAAAGAACAGGTGTTCACACTTTTTCTTGTGGCTTGGTCTGAGGCCCAAATACTCCATTGGAGATTCAGCGCGCGGGTCGCAATGCTTTCCGCTGCAGCCCTAAGCTCCAAGTTCTCATGGAGCAGTGGGCCAGTGCCCAAGGGGTGTGGACCCAATCAGATTTCTTTCTGCAGATCAAGGAGAAAAAGAAGAACCGTCGGTTCGGATGCCGAGTGTGGTTAACAAGATCCGAAATGACTGCAAAGTACGGATCCACGACCATAGCCCAGCAGATCATAGAAGCAAAGGAAATTGACAAGGAAGCATCAAAGACGCAGATCAGGGCGCATCCTGATATGCATGGTGTGCAGACTGAGGACAGCCATGATACTCATGCAATGGTTTTTCTGGTTTCTCAAATCAACGTACAGCTTAGCAATGTACAAACATGCCAGTGTGCGCATTTTTGTGAATGCAACCTGTAGATTTCTGAATCGACCCTCGGGCTTTATTGATTACATTGGGTTACGTACCTCGTGTTGCTACCTTTGTTCAGCCTCTCCAGGAAACCACCCAGTATCTAATCTGGGACAAAGAAGGAGAGGAAGACAGCGTGGACACAATCACAAGCCAGCTTTTTGAAGCAGCTGATAGCAGCAGTGGGCCTAGTGGTTCGGGAAAAAAGAAGACAAAGAACAAGAAGGCCAAAGGAAAGAAGAGTAAGAAGAAGGCAAAGTCGTCCAAGAGAAAGGGCAAGAAGTCAAAGAAGAAGGGAAAGAAATCGTCTTCGTCGTCGTCTGAGTCTTCGTCTGACAGTTCGAGCGGCTCTTCCTCAGATTCAAATGAATCTGATGACTCCAGTGAGGCTGGATAATCTGTACACTATATTGTATTTGAATGATTCCATATGGTTTCACCTCTTGACCCTGTATATGTTTTCAATACTTCACATTGCACATAGCCATGTGGAACTATGTCCTCCTGCTTTCCATAGCCATCCAGCACAGGCAAACACAAAGAAACCAAAGCGTAAGTCTGGGAAGAACAAGAGCAAAGGCAAGGACGAGACAGAGGCTGCAAAGAAGAAGAAAGAGGAACAGGAACGAAAAGCTGAACAGAAGAAGGCGAAGCAAGATGAGGATAAGGAGAAAAAGCGGCAGGAGAAGCAGAAGACGGATGCATTGAAGAAAGAACAGCGAAAGAGCAATCAGGTACCATGGTACGGGCCATGGCACCAACATTGAAGTTCCAACATATGTGTATGCTGATGTTGCAGGTACTATTAGTGCACATAATATATCATAAGTATGGTGTGAAAAGCATGTGAATGTGGCCATGAAATAAGTCCAGGTTCTACCCACAGGGTAAGCAAAGTGAACCAAATTTTGAGAACAGTCGTCTTTCAGCGACTTTGTGCAAGCCAATGGTTTCACATTCTTTTTACAACAAAGACTTTTCGGGACACCCCTTGCGATTTAACTTCAAGGGGATGGAGACAACTGAAATTCTGGAAGGTCATTACCAAGATCGGGCAGAGCATCATGAAGGCTTCCAGCCTCGAAGACAAGCTGTCGAACATGTCCCTCGGAACCAGCCTTGGCGAGGCGGCTGTTGGTATTGCTAAGTGGTGGTCAAACCCTATCCTAAAATAAGACCATCTTTTTGGGGTTGAATAAATGTTGGGGCTACAAAGTCTTGGCCAGGCAGTTCGAAACAGCAATGTCAACCCTGGAAAAAAAACTGACTTTCTTTTTTGGGTGGTTCACCCCAGATACTCATAAATTGCATTCAGAATCGGTACCCTGCCTATTGATAAACCCATTGTATAATGTCTTGTTTAAACCCTGCCGGGTCATGGGATAGCAATAAAATTAAAAAACCAAAATCCAATCGCTGGGATACTGCTACCTAGACAATGTTCAACAGCATAAGTGAAATTATTTTAATTATTGAAATGTTGTCCGAATCTTTCAATGTAAAGGCTTACATAATTCGAAGGTGTTAATGGCATCCCCGATGCTCAGAAACAGTTTCTAAATCCTGACTATATATGTAGGAAAGGACCGGTTTTCTTGAACCCTTTGATTGTTACCCAGGCAACCACCCATAGCAGGCTTATATAACTTCCCAATATGTTCTGCACTTTTTAATGCAACTGGATTATTTGGTCCAACTTCGATCTTGAACAAAAACTGTAGATTCTGCATTCTACAGACGCAAAAAGCATGTCCATCCCCATCCAAAACTCTGAGACCCCCAGCTAGTGCCATCCCCATCTTGCGTTTTGCCCAGGAGCGAGACTGTGAAGAAAGCCATTTTGACCGAAGTGAAGCCACATTTGATCGCCCTGCGAGATGCCCGGAAACATCTCCAGAAGGCGATTGACGAATCCAAGGTGGGATTATCCTTGGTGCTGTTTTCTTTTAAAATCAAATCCATTCAGAGGTATTGGAAACCCAAAATAATGTTTGTAGCCACCCTATTATACATTCCAGTTGTTTAGCTTTATGTTGCAAATGATGTTAAACATCTACTGGGTCCAGGTTCCATGAAAAAATGATCTGCGTTAGCAAAGAACGCATGATGTAAATATCACAGTAGTGAAGTGGATATATTCTATTGAAATTTCAGGTCAAAAAAATGTTTTCTATTTCTCACCTAGCTGTCAGGAACCCCAGGTGTTCTCTGGCCACCTCGGTCGCCATCTGCAGATGCCAGCCACAGGTGGATTGCCTGGGCAACATGCCCCAGATGACGGCCAGCGGCGAGGATGTGGTCAAGGATTTTCAGAGCTTTTGCACCGCCTATAACATTTCCAAGTGATGGCAATAGTTGAAAATTTCGGGTCCTAACACAAGATCCTCTAGCTTTCCTACATATGCATGGCATAGTGGGGCATTTTCGTCTAACACCCTTTTGACATTGACAGTGTGAATTGTTGACAGTAAGGTGGGCAGTGGCAAACATATAATTTATGTATACTTTATATATAAGTGGTTTTACATGATACAGTACATCTAATTACATTATAATATATATAATGTTCATGGGAATAGTCGCAGTGGCTTGACTCACCCACTATATCGATTGGTTTGACAGTTTTGTTTGCCACAGACTACCTGGGTCTGCCTCAAGCCATGCGGGCTAGGGATGGGGTTTCAGGCTAGTTTGGATTGCGTGGAAAACCCACACTTAGAACTTTGCTATGATGTGCCGACGCCAGTGTGAACTACACATTGGTCGGATTGAGATGGTCCAAACATGGGGCCCCAATACATTGATCGAGCGAATGGCAACAAAAAAGCCTAAGCATGGAAACCCATGTCATGAAACCAGATTCTTTAGTATCTCAAAAGGGACACCCACCTGTCAGAGTCTCCAAATGTTTCAAGGCTATTTAACCCTTGGCCCACCGCAGGTGAGCGTGCTGATGGGGTTCCCCACACCCTTCATGGCCATTATGATGATATTGCTGGAGGGGAAGCTTGGTTGAACCAGGGATGGGATATGGTGCTTCTATTACCCCTGTATCTGGAGACATGCTAGCTCAATAAAAGAAGTTTGATTGCCGGACAGGAAAGAAAGAAAAACATTCAGTTCTGAGAGCAGTTGGTGGTTTTCAAAGCACAATGGGTACACAGCGTACCCAAGTTTATTCGTTTTGGGCACCAGCCAAAGAAATTCACTGGTACCCTTACAACTAGTTGATAGCCTAAAGTTCAAGATTTTATTCAGATCTGGTGAACACGTGTGTGGATTTCATCTTTGTGCATGCATTGTATTGTGTCATGAGTAGATAGATATATGGCCACATCTGGGAAGTGTGGATGTGTAGGATCCATCACAACACCAATGTCACCCTTCCCTGTTGCTCCAGGCGACCTCTGTCGCTGCTGCAATGAAGCGGGTGCGGAATCAAGCTGCAGAGCCTTCGCAGCACAGGGTTGTGAATGGAGTAGTCATATATTCTAAAAATGATATCCCCTTCAATGTTGGTCACGGCATAAAATTTAATTAGTGCTCCTTTACCTAAAACAACCAAAGATCTATACCATCCACTACCCACCAGAGAATATCATCCCATATGTTCCCAACAAAAGTTAAGATGTTCCCTAGCCATGTTACACTGGGAGAGGGTACCTTTGCTGTGCCCCAGCGTGTATGTGTGTACAATGTGGTTGTGTTTTGTTTGGCATCAACTGATTTCAGCACTTAGGAAGCAGGACCGGCGAATCATCCAGAAACTTCTCGGTTAGCAACAAAATCTGGCAAAAACGATGCCCGTGATTTTTGGAATTCTGTTAAGATCCCGATGCTTGTACCTTGATTGAGTGTGGCGCCTGCTTGTTTTTTTTAGATTTGGAGGTTTTGTAATGTAAGATCAACCAATATGTTTTTTTGGAGGTAAAGAACCAAACATATTGAATATTGTAGCCCAAAACTGGGTTTTTTACCGCCTGTATTAATAGGGATTTCCTGGGCAAGTGCATTTTATATTTTAGAATTGAGCTATGCTTCCTAGCTGAGGCGGTTGATACAATCAAGGTTCCAGTGGTGGACAAGAAGAGCCCCAGAGGGGTGTCTATGGAAACGTATCCTATTCTGCATCCCCACAGAATTTTGACGTACTTATTTGATGAAGTACAGCTGGAGCTAGACCCTGCCAGTGTTCACCAATACTGGGACCATGCAAGGTTGATGCAAGAGCCCTGGGCAGTATCAAGCCCTGCATCACGAGATCATGTGCCTTTAGGGTTACACGGAGACGGGGCTCGACTCTGGACAGTTTATCAAGTGGAGAAACAGATGTCTATCTCCATAAATCTTCCTCTCTTTCGACCACGGGCCACCCGTTACAGTCGTTTTGTTGTCTTCACTTGTCCAGCTGGCAAATTGTTCAAAAATCGCACGCTCAATGCAGTCTTTAGGAGGCTTGCTTGGAGCATCAATGCATGCTTTGACGGTTTCTACCCGACGCAGGGTGTTGGTGGGAAGCCGTTGAAGGGTTCTGATGCCAATATGGCTGGTCGTGCCATAACTAAGAATGGTTTGAGGTTTGCACTTACGGAAGTTCGTGGGGATTGGGAGTTCCATCGGGATTGCTGGCGTCCTACATCATCATGGCTTTCCACCACAAAACCCATGTGCATTCAATGCCCTGCAGTAGCAAGTGGACCCACGGAGCTTCTCTATTACAATAACGAAGACAGTTGTACGTGGAACAATCAAGAGTTCAACTTGGGGGAATTTGTGTCCCAACGTCTCAGGGATAAAAACTTGTGTATCTAGCAAGCAAGTAACATTTTTATTTTCGGAAACTGTTGATGATTTTTTCTGTTCAGGTATTGTTTTTTCACCCCAATATTTGGAAGATTTGGGAACATGATAAAGTTTTTTTGTGGGGGACATCATTGTCGCAAACCCATACATATGAGGTCCCCTTCTCACAGTACGTGGGTTTCATCCTGGGGTATTGCGTTGGTGCTCCATGCACGCAATCAATCTTGGAATTTTCTTTACAGCCAATGGAGCAGCGTTGACGCTGGCTAAAATTAAAAGGTATGAATAATCAGTTTTGTTGTTTTTGGTCCTGCCTTGTACTGCGCAGCAAACTTGATTTGAAGTCAGCTGTAGCCCACTGTCCTGTGTGCGGGGCTGGCTGTTTCCTAAGGCTCCTTCTTTGCGATGATCTTGAATTCTTTGGACCAGGGACTTTCGAACAGAAGCTGGACTCAGCTTACAAGGACTTTCTGGCATATTGCAAACGCCATAAAGTCAACCACTCCCAGCCACCATTCCTCCCCAAGATGGTGCCTTGAACTACAATGATCGGAGAACTGCGATGCACCACGTGTTTTTTCTATATATGGCTATAAAATATGCTAGAATCACATCACCAATTTTCAAATAATGGGAATGCTGCAGAATATGAATCCAAGAAAAAGATGTAGCATACATGTTTTTTCTTCTTGGGGGCTGACATATTTCCTGATACTGCCCTCATAACGTCTAAGGTGAAGAAAAAAGGTGGCAAGATCCTTTTTACTGCAAAAGCCTACAACGGCCGCTGTATCTTGAGCTGGCTGGCAGACTGCCTTCTGACAGCTTTGGATTCTTACCCAGATCATGAGGTATTGGTGCTTACCAGTGCTGCCATGACCCTTGACCTCAAATTGGATTTCTTTTTTATGGTGCTCATGTTTTTTCCGATTGATATAGTCCGGAAAACTTTAATGATGATAAAAGGAAAGGTATTTAAACTATATCAAGGGTCTTGAGTCTTGGGATCTAATTATGAACAATTGTTTCAATGTGCCTCCTCTTCTTGTTTAGATATGTTTTGATTACAGTTCCCACAACAAGCCCAGCCAGCGTTTCCTTCAGGAGCTCGTTGGCAAAGTTCATGCGCTTGTTGGAGGAGAATGGCCGCTATTTGACACATGGCAAAACAGAGAAGTTGTTGGCTTGGGTGTGGCTACCATCCTTGAATGCGGAGTAGGTTACCGTACCTGCTCATAAAGTCGAATTCAACCAATTTGGTCCACCCAGGGTTAGTGTGCAAAAGTAAATCTCAACATTCATGTCTACATGATGATATGATATGTCAGGTTGTAGGGTGTAAGTATCACAGCCCCAGCCCGATGAAATACTTTAATTTAATAATTGCCTTGGGGGTTGCCATACTTCCACAAATCCAGCCAGGGGTTTGATGAGATCTTGAATTCAACATACTTCTATTTCAAAGCCCATTGCATTCTCAATGTCAATAATGTATGTGTGTGTGGTTTGGTTCAAGCCAAAACCTTTCGATTTGGTGAAACCGTTCGCCCACTTGACCCATTCGCCCTCAGGACCCAGGATGCAGCGCAATCGATCTATGATTCAGGGATGCGGTTCTTGAAGCTCTACCGTGTTCTCTGCGCAGAGCATGTGAGGCATAGGGGGTCATGTATACTTTTGAGTTGCCGTTGGATTGCTAGTCAAAGAATATAGTTTGTTAGAGCTTCTTTAGTTCAGCTCTGTGAGCACTCTCAAATCTGTTCTGGTGTGGCTGTACAACTTGTAATCATGTAGTTTTTTCTTGTGGAGGCAGGGCCGCAGTCTTTGGTTGATGAAACCAAAGCACCATGTAGCTTTGCTGCATTAAAGATTGAAGGGTTCTGCCCGCTGGAGATTCAGTGTCTTACTTTTGAAAGAGTGTGCGCCCAAAGACATGGTGCTAAGATGTGTCAAGGGCACGTTCCATCGCTGTGTGTAGTGTGCTCATCAGGTGATGGGTCACCTGTGCCATCACGTTCTGCGCTACAGACCCTTGACCAGTTGGTCCCCATCATGCAGGATGTCATGACTAGGGAATTCGCACGAGTGATGCATGACACCTCATCCAAATATATAACTCTTTGGGGTTTGACCTAGGTTCATCTTTAAGGGGGACTTCAATGAAACGTTTCAGGAGAGCATGGTTGTCTCTGCATTTGGCAGCTTAGGAACAAATCCTCGAATGACCCACACATTTTGCGATGAGGATTGTATGCGATGGGTGAAAGCAACCTGAATGCATGTGTTTTTTGTGGGTGTTGTGGGTTTTGAAAAGTTGGGTTATTTTGGGGGACTTAAACAAATAGGAGAAAGAGCGCCCTGTGGTTTGTCAATGTTTATCATATTGTTGCACTTGTACTGTTTCTTATTATGGTCAGTTTGAAAAGGACAAGGTATGATGTTGTTACAAGGACCAGGCATTTCACCCAAGACAGCTCAGGTGTGGCGTCAAAGACATCAGCCAAAAAGCGGTGTCTCTGGGTTCTCAAATGCACCAAACTCAGGCCAGCTTTCACCATTTTATTGTTCAACCAACAAAAAGATGTAAAAAAAAGTGTTCATGGGGCGTGTGTTTGCTTGACCCGCTTTTCTCTTACAGTTTTGCAGGCTCCTATCCATGAAGAATTCCCGAGACAGAAAGAGGCTCGGGTTGTTTCATTACATTTCATTCCCTTACTTGCCAGTTCAACTTAGATAGCCTTTTTGACTCTGAACTCATGCTTCCCCAGAATGGCGATCATTCCACCTGTGGCTCCAGGACAAAAAGCCCAAGACGCAGATGACATAGCAAAGGGAAGTGTTGGGGTGCAAAATAGTGCGTTGATTTGGGTGATTGTGGGTGTGATCAAATTTGATCAAAAAATATCAATGCACATGTGTTTCAAACACCTTGTTTCAAGGCTTGCAAAAGACTATTGGCCCCAAGTAGGGAATCGTCTTTATCAAAAAGACCATTGTTTTAATCGTCTTATGACTTTTAGGGTATATACATGTGTGTGTGCGTGTGTTGATTTCAATGGCGAATACAAATACCTATTAGCTTTGACGCCAGGAGAATCAAGAGCCTGGAGGGGCAAAAGATTTATGATGTCTACTACTGGGAGGAGGTGATTCAAGAGGACGGCGACGGCGGCAAAGTCGTCGTTTGCCGCAAGAAGACCGAGGTGCGACGGTCGGAGCCTGGAGGGGATGTGGAGGGGGCGATGGAAAGTCGTGGACCTTCAAAAGTTGTTTTCTGAAGTCATGGGGAATCCTCAAGTCACCATGGGTTTCAATACTAAGATGGTCGAATTTGGGATGATTTGAGGTACCCACATTTTAGGAAACCCCCACAAATTGACATATATTAGCTAGAATTGGACATGGAACAGGAACCTTTGATAGCTCATAGCTTCTGTCAGTCTAGTTTTTGGGGTGCGCTGTGACCAGCGGAGGACAACACTGGCGACTTTGATAAGGTCATGAAGATCAAATCTAAGTTGAAGCTAAAGATCCTTGGCTTTTTTAGAGTCTTTGACCTGGTTCAGTGCTTTCAGAGACCTCTTTGAAGTGCAGTCTGCAACTAAACTAGAAGCCAATGATTGAAGATGCGTGGCACTTTAGGGTGAGGGATCACTACTCTGACTCTTGCTGCTTGGACAATGTGTGCGCTGTGTGTCGTGGTGGATTTGCTGTTTTGAATCATCATGGCTGGGTTGACATGTCAACACTCGTAGCGGACACCGTCCAGATGACAATGGCGACTGATGCCCAGGAAAGAAGGCTGTGCAGATGACTATCGCAAGGCGGCAGCTGGGCGACCAGAAAGTGTACGTCTTGTGCCTTCAACAAAATCCAGATGGGATACCCTGTGGTAAACTAACATAACTATGGAAAATCACCATTTTTCATGGGAAAACTCACTATAAAGCTATGTTAGTTGACCAGAGGGTATGTGAAATGATTTGCTCACCAACATATCAAGCTCAAGTAATCGCGCTAATGACCTGGAAGTATGATCTCAATTGACCGACTCATATTTTTCAGGCTTGAAACCACCAAGCCTCCGGAATTGGATGATGGGAAAACCATGGAAGATCCCGATAAGGGATCTTCCCTCAACTCAACCCAATCCATTGACGAACCATGTTTAAAAACATCAAAAGGTGATGAACCCCCCATGAAATCCCATGAACTCATATGAAATCCATTTACATATATATATATATATATTTGATGCTTTCCCACCTTCCCAATGAAATCCCAGAAAATCCTCATTTCGCCCTGGCCCACGGCGCCAGGTCCTAACGAAGATGCTGTCACTACCACCGCATCCCGGGGTGATGCCCGTGGAGGAGGTGGGAAGCGGAGGAAAGGGGAAATGTGACAGATCTATACTATACCATTTGTATACAGTACATGAATCTTTGACTTGCATACCGTACGTATGTACAACTAGAAATATATATATGTAGATATGCAGATATGTATGTTACATATCTATAGATATATTTATATATATATACATATATCTATACATATGTGTGATTCTATTTGAATGTGTGTGTGTGTGATTGCGTGAGGCATTGGAGGACGATGCCTTCTACTACGCACCTTGGCAGCGTGTTGGAGCACGGCCCCCAACAAGGCCTTATTAATGAGAGTTGCACCAGCATCAACCCCTATCAGGGGCTTGTTGAATGAAACCTGTTTTATTGTGGAGGATATATTTATGAATAGATACATATAGTGTAAATTTATAGATGTCTATGTGTATAATATGTGTGTGAGATCTTTTGGGTTACCTGATCAGTGGACTTTCAAAATCCACAATTTCGCCGAGTGGCCGAGGGTGGCGCCACCGGCTGAGGTGGTCACACCCCGAGCCACATCCAGCTTTTTTCAGGGCCTGCTCGGGGAATTCCACGACGGCGTTGTACCTGAATGTGCGCTCAGGACGGAAATCTACAGCGAAAGATGCTAAGAAAATCTAATCCAAGAAACGCAATATGTATATACCTGTATATATATATTATAAGGCTATAAGGCTCACTGATGTTTGCTTCTGGTGCTACAGAAGTGTGGCAAGTTGCTGGTGGCCATTTGACTTCCGATCGTCATGTCAAACGGGCTGAGGAGTTTGATGACTGACATGCTGGAGGCAGTGGATCATTTACACACTCACGGCGTGTCATTGCCTCAGATGCAAAATATCATAACATACCATGACTCCCAAAGAGAAAGAGAGAGAGAGAGAGAGCGAGGAGGCAAACATGTACACACAGGCAAATAAATTAATTATTAGTATGTCTTTTTTATCTTAGTTCAGAATATTTCAGAATCATATGAAGAAAGAGAAAGAGAAAGAGAAATGGCGGAAACCAGATCAAATGACTACTCAGCCCGGAGAGAGATGATACCACCAGAGTTTTGAGTTTTTTCGGCATCACCACTGGGACTTGTTTCCCACTGTCCAAGGCTTCATCGTGACATCAAACCAGACAACATGGTGCTGCAGGTTCTCCTGGGGTTTG